CCCCCATCTCCTCGATGTCGTCTCTGATGATGGAAGCTCGCATGCTTGCGGCGGATACCACGTGGCAGCTGATCGAAGGATGAGGAAAAGGCACCATGCATGGAACTAATACTCCGTTCCGGTCAGGAACGTGAACGGTGCGATTGAAGAAGTTCACAGGGTGATCCTTGCTTCGCAGCCATGACATGCCCAAGATCATGTCGAATTTGGTGTCCAGAATGTCGAAGGACACCGCCTCACTTGCGTGGGGGGCAAAGTACACTGGGACGGCGTCAATGCATCGGCCGATGGACTTGTGCGTATGACCGTCTGCCAGAGTGACTTGCGTAGGCTGGGACTTCCTCCGGACACGTGGGCCAAGGCCGGCGCGTACCATGAAGTCCTGGCTGATGTAGTTGCGAGATGCTCCGCAATCGATCAAGGCACTGCAGGTCGCCTCTCCGATCTGAATGCGTATGTATAGCAATGGTGCGTCGATGTCGTCCTACCGTTGCGTCTTGAACTCGCGGTCGATCTTCGCGATGAAAGCGTGAAGGTCGACAACCTCTTCTCCGACGTCCATCAACGGAGCTGGTACTGCAGTGTGCAAGTAGTCCCGCAATTGTGCCATAAGCACGTTGCAATGCGGTTTCGGCAATCGCCCGGTCGAGGGAACGGGCATCCACTGGAAGTCCGTGAACGTCAACGGATCGAGCTCATCAAGTCTTGACCATGACGTCGAATCCCCGGCGATAGGTTGCGGCGAAGCTGCCGAATCAGTTGCCGATGGTGATGAAACCATGCATGCGGTGGACTGTTGCACGTGGAGCGGTTGGTCCAGCGGTGGAACCAAGTGGTCATCATAATCCTCGTAAGTATACCGAGGACTTGCGACATTCGCATCCTCCCCAGATGTGCAGGAGGCCGCTAGCAAGGCGGCCGAATCTGGCGGAGTAGAAGGTGGAGTCGCCTCACCTTCCGCGGAGCTCAGTTTCCCGAGCTGAGGCGGGGTCGCACATCCTCCTTGCCCTGATCTTGGCACAGGGAGGTCTTGTGCTTGGTGCTGTTGCACCAATAGCAGCTGCCGTAGCGGCCACGGATCTTGTACTCCGCCTCGGACAAGCCAAACTTGACCCATGGAAACTGTCCTGGCTGTCCATTTCCGGCCTGCGATGCGGATTTCGCCTTCCCATTGTTGCGGGACTTGTTGGTGCTTCGCGGCTGGACAGTGGCCACCTGATCTCCGTCACTTGATACTGGAGTGGTTGCCGGGTTATTTCCACTGTCCTGCTGGACTGCAGCGAAGTGCTGCTGTCGCGGACCAGTTCGTACCTTCTCCACATAGGTCGGCTGCTATGATGTTGATTTCTCGTGTGCAGCTGACATGTTGGTCTTGATGATCTCCCTCGCTTTGTCAATGATCTCCGCGAAGGTTGAGTACTGCTCGCGATCACCAAGAGCCTGGCTCAATGCCGCACAGGACCTGTTGTAGAACTCACGGCGTAGATGCTCAAATGGTAAGTTCAGATTGGGCACAGCCGCAATCTTCTGCCACTCCGTGAGCCAGTCCCGTGTTGCTGTGTTGCCCTGTGACATGGTGAACAAACGGTTGATGGCGAGTGTCGGCGCGTCGTC